AGGTGCACAAAAGGTCGTGTGTGTGCATTGCCAAGTTTCTCGACACTAAAGCACTTGGGCGAAAAACCGATATGTGCATTAGATAACCCATAAGTAGTAAGTGGAAGATGAATGTGAGTTTAAAAATAAATTGCTTTAGTTTAGTCAAAAAATAAACTAAACTCGATTTTCGGTAACGCACAGGCGTTGATCTATTCTAGTTTTTCAAAGGATTTTTCTCATAGTAGAAACGATCTGGGAAACTTTTAAATAGTTCAAAAGAAAGCCCAGACTCTGCGCTTCAAAATTATATAAGATACTTCATGATCATCACTTTCGGTCTTTTGTTGTATACCTTTATCTTATAGCATGATCAATCATTGCAATATTAGTACTGATCCACGATTGTTTGATCGATGTTTTTTCGTTTAATAAGCATGAACACATAGAACAAAGGACAGTGTCCTATGCAGAAAAGTGTTTATAGTTTGATGATTTTTAATTTTTCTTACTGTTAACTTCTACTTTAATCATGCTGCTCGACCGTTAGCCGTTTTTCATGAGAAGGTAACGCTATGGAATCAATTGATAAGATCGTAACAGCAGCTGTTTTTAGATTCATCTTTATTTAATAAAAATATGAATCTTTTGCAAATAAAATACGAAATTTTTAGTAAGATACACTTGAGGCAAACTTCAAATTTTTTTTCTTTTGACTACTTTACACACCATTCGATAGAAAATTGAACGGAGAACACAAATATTGGTCGAAAAATCAAGAAAACCCGAGATGCCTCGAAAATCTGAAAAACACCGTTTTTCGAGAAAACAAACCCGCTATAGTTTCGCCGCAACACGTTGTGGAGCTCTGCGGTTAGGATATTCGGATTCTGAATTGAAAATTGAATCTAGTCATGTGCTCTGTCACCAGAGCCACCACAGCTCCATTACCCATTCATCAGTCAAAAACACGTGCGAACATTATCCACAACCCAAATTTCGTCACTATCAACACCATCGATCCTCTTCGAACCAGCTAGAAATGACTGATAAATTTCTCCAAAAAAGAAACACATTCAAAAAATAATACTCGAACATGGACTGTCATTAATAAAATAATAAAAAAAGATCGATTGTCTTTTACTTCTTTCGAGATGCTTCTAACCAGCAATTAATCAAGTTTGTTTTCTATGTAGAAAGGATATCGGAAGAATGTCGCGAAGTCACGGCGATTTTCTGTACACTCGCGAATTCGCCGTGCATCTTGAAAAATTGATAAATTTCAAAAGCTAAGTCAATATTTCTTAGCGCAATGTATTATTCCTGTACACCATTCGCAATATAGCGCAGTCGCGTCACGATTTTTCTTTTCGTTCTTCTATTTGTTCTATGTAAATTTCTAACGAAGAAAAACATGCTTCGTATAAATGCATATATATATACTCGTCTAACACTTTTGAAAGTGAAAGAGTGTATGTAGTAACATATCATCGGAACAAAAAAAATAAAGTTGGTTTAGAGTTGCTGAAAAGTGATTTTTCGTATTCATCACACTCGATAACCCAGAAGATTTTCTGTTTTTGGCCCGAGGTACTTCCGAAAGTTTAGGAAAAGTTTTGAAACAAAATGGCGCAAAAAGTTTTCCATGGAAAAATAATATTAATTTGAAAACTTTTCCTAAACTTTCAGAAGTACCTCGGGCCAAAAACAGAAAATCTTCTGGGTTATCGAGTGTGCTGAGTACGAAAAACCACTTTTCAGCAATTCTAAATCAACTTTATTTTTTTTCCGGTGATATGGTACATATATTATGTGGCAGCCACGTGTGTGATGACACTACAAAAGTTTTTTTCATTTTAAACGTGACGTTCATATCTGCTTCTTTAAGTGTTTCAAAGCAGAGCTAAATCAAAGAAAAAGTAACTGATTTGCAAAGTAAGTACACAGCAATTCCAGTGAGTGAGAAAATATAAATTCTTCAATATAAATTTTACTACTGTACAATTCCTTCAGGCATTTTGTGTAGATCAAAAAGGTCTTCTTTCTCGCAAACTGGAGTATATCTAACGACTTTTTCCATGCTATTTCTCGGCTTGGCCGAGCGTGACGAAATTTCACTTTTTCGACTTCTTTGTTTTGTATTTCCGAAACCATGTAAGAGATTGAGATGAAATTTTTATCGAATGTGTATAAATAGCAGGTGCTTCAAATTCTGAAAGGGCGAGTTTGATCAACGCAATAGATCAGTAGTTATAGCAACAAAAAGAGTCCGTGTCGGAATTTCGAAAAACAAAAAGTTTTTTTAGCTGCTCTTTGAAGTTCGAACTTCTCTCTGCAATAAAGCACTGTCGTTTGACAAACTTTACAGAAAAATGTTCGCCAATGTTTGGGCTTTCAGAATATGTCTTTAGTTTTGGTTTCAAGTGCTAAGAGGTAATAAAACAAGCAGAAAATCGATCGTGACGAAATTTCATTCGTGACAGAACTTCGTGCTTCCAATGTAGAAGATTATGCTTCCCATAAATTCGACACTCAAACGAACCCAGCCAATTTTCTTTGATTCTCTATCATCCGCGTGCCTTTCGTTCGTCGTTCGAAGCAGGTTTTGTCAAGAAAATATAGCACCTGACGGCTAATAACAAATTTATAATTTCGATGAATTTACGACTTTGCTATTGTTAAATATAATTAAAATTGAAATTTGAACAATTTTTAAGCGAGAAAATTAACGGATAGAAACTCAAAAATGTTCTTAATCACTCTCAGGTGTTTTTCATTGGAAACGTTTTAATTCTAAATTTAGTTTAAATATAAATATTCAAAAATTGATTTAAACTGCGACATGGAATAATTTTAATGCTTTTCAAATTTTTTCAATGTTATATTTGGAATCAGCTTAAAAAGCTGCGTTGAATGATATGGTGTCAGCCTTATTCGTGAGAAACAAATTTTCAATTTCTGGTCTAAAATACATTTTTCAGTCACGAATTTGAGAATTTTTCGAAAAAGTTTATATAAAAAGCAAACAAAGGGAACTTAAAAAATAGGGCTTTGTTACGACCTATTTCTAAGTGTATTCTACCACTTAAAATCGCTCACTATTGCAGATTTTTATGCATTGATATTTATCAAGTTTCTATTTAATAAAAAACTTACCGTTTGCTTGCGTTAAAAACTTACCGTTGCTAACACAACCAAGACAAGCATTTATGGAAGACAAACTTGACAAATGTAGATAATATTATAGATACAGTAGTTCGTGAATGTATTGTATTGATTAAATGAGAAAATGACAATGACTAGATTTACAATTCAGTCTAAAGAAATGCTCGAAAGTTGGATGGAGTTACTCCTGTCAATCATAGAAATCGGTTGATTTGACATTGTTACATTTCAAGTCCTCAGCAGTATATGGTTGACTGAAATTAGATTTATTGTGGATGAAGAAACTGATGTGCAATACGATAGAATTATTATCCTTTGATAATCACAAAGTAAACATTTCATATGAATTAGTTGACTTATGGTAAAGCAATTTTGAAAATACAATTAATGCACGTCCGAACAAGTTGAACTTGTTCACATTAAAATTCTAAACTGGCCTTTCCCTTTGTTTTTCTTATATCAAAACTCCTACTTTAAGATTATCACATAGTATCCACAAGTGCAAGATGTCCTTTGCATATTTTCTTCCGATAGCACATTGTTAGTGCCAAAGTTACAATAACAACGTGCAATACCGAATTCGTCAAACTATGCAAATTCTTCAACAAACGAAAAACAAATTTAATTGTCAATTCGGAGCTATGTAACAATGTGCATTCTCGAATCTGTGACTGTCGAAAACGAATTTCATATGCACCTAGATCTGAACGTATATGAAAATCGAAAAGATTTTCAATCCAGGTGTTCGAATCTGCAAATTCCTACCATCCTGCACATTGCGGTTAATTTGTAGGAGAATAGCTGTGATACATATCTAAACTCAGAAAAGGTTTCCCTACGGCTCCGAAAATCTCAAAATTGCGCGCACTTTGCACATTGCAGTTAATCCATATTAACTTGTTGAAATTCGCCCATGAGTGCGTATGATAAATAGCGGAAGTCGAGACCAGCTCCTACTCTATAAATCGGCACATTGTAGTCACTTCGTATACAAATTCTGAGAATTAGGAGGAGAATAGGCATGATAAATATCTAAAGTCCGAAAAGGTTTCCCTACGGCTCTGAAAATCTGCAAATTGCTTGCACATTGCAGTTAATTCGTATTAAACTGTGCAAATTCGTAGATGAGTGCGTATGATAAATAGCGGAAAACGAAATCAGGTTCACTGCCACTCATGTTAGAGATAAAAGCGAATTCGCAGTTTGCACATACGAATTGAATGCAAGTGCACGTAATCTGCAGATTTGTTGACCTAGAGATCTACTTTAACAGCAGTGCAGTTGCGAATTCTCAGATTTTGCATAAGAATTGTTTACGATGTGCAAAGAGCGAGTAATTTGCAGATTTTTCGACATACGGGTAAAGGTTTTTGAATTTTGATAGTTAGCATAGATCTAATCTGATATGATAATCTGGTCAACACGCTTTCTGTAAATTCACGCGTCTACAGCGAAGGGCATTTGCGAATTAGCTGACTCCTCAATCAGTTGTATTTTCGAACTCGAAAAACGCTAAAACTTTTCAGCAATATCTAATTTTGAAATTCCTGTTATTCATCCACGCGCAGCAAGGTGTATGTACGAATTGTCTAATTCTATCATACACTTCCCATTTCAGAATCCTTCGAATATGAAAATTAGTGAGTAGTATAAAACTTCGATCTAGCAATGTGCATTTACGAAATTCGTAAAATGGTCTCAGTTCGTAAAATGCGCGCACCAATGTACATTTACAAACTGAACGAACTAAACGAAGTAGAATGTTTCAAATCAACAGTTTGTACGGTGTAAAGTGCATTTCGTTTTTGAATGCCCTGGCCGCACAATTGAGACGAATAAGTGTCGAAATTCGATGGTTATGTTTCGTGAGTAGTGGATGAATGACCGTGTTCATTACACCATTGTTCACCCTCATAATCGATCCATTTAGCGAGACAAGTTAATAAGTCTTTAGCATAAATATCATTCATCCACATTTGAGGCACTTGATCGATCTTATACAGAGCGCCAGCTATTTGCATGTAGAGTAATAAAACAATATTCGATGGATAACATGGATTCGACCATTTTTCGTTAGTCTCAGGAGCATTATTAAAGTTTTGTACTGCGTTTCTCACACCACATTCAAATGAGTTTTCATCATTTTTTAAAAGCCATATAACATTTTCTAATGCTTGTAGAATTTCAGGCTTCTGTTGTTGTTCATTTCCTACTTGAAGTATGCATAATAAGTCATTCTTTGACTTTCCTTGTAATGCTAGACATAATAATTCGATATACTTTTGACATGTATCTCTTACATCACTGTCATTACTGTATATGGCTTTCACACATTTGTCGACGTAAAAGCGAGCATCATTTATTGAACGGTAGTAGAAGTAGGCCACTGGTGATAGACGTAGCAGCACTGCTATTGGTACATCTCTTCCATGTTGTTGAACCGTCAAATCGTCTTGGTCCTTACTAATCGCCAATTGTATACTAAATTGTTCAAGTTTATTTTTCAGTGGTATTGGTGGTGAATAAGCAACACCGACTGATGACATGAAACCGTTCATCCACCAATTTTTATAAGACTGATAGACGTGATATAAGTTTAAACCATGTTCATAAATTAAACTGGTCAACATGCAAAGTGTAAGAGACACATCATTTGTCCAACTTAAACTTAATCCAGATATACGATTACAACGCATCTCTTTCTCCAGAACTTCAACAAGATACGGTTCTGGTTGATAATTAAAATGTTTTCCGATCATTCCGCCTAATGTTATGCATAATAATGAACTTAATAAATGGTCATTGACTAAAATTAATGGTGGATCAATGACTGACATGGCATCGGGTCGTTTGCCCATTTCAAGCATCCAGTTCTTGTTTGCTTTTGCTGACATTGTTCACCGTTAAGAGTACGTCAGTGTGCTTCTCTCTCTCTACACAACAGTCTTTTAATTTCAAGTTTTTTCGCTTAAAGGTAGTAATTTGTCTTACTGACATGTACGCGTGTACTTTTATTCATCTGTTCGTTCTTTTTTTCATTCTTTCTCTGTTTCCTCCTGTGATTTTGATCGTTATAAACAATTATTTGATGAATATGATAGAAGAGGAAAAAACGAACCTGAGTAAATATATAAGACATAGATAAGATTTAGAACGTTAGGCATATGATCACGAATTGTATACCTGTTTCATTTCGATAGAAAGAAAAATTGTTAGACCTCACGGAATAACTATTGAACTGCACTACTCGGAGGCCAGTGTGGAATAATGACGTATGCGAAACGAAATACTGGTATACAAAAACATAACAAAATGGTTCAGTTCCCTTACAAAACGCAGAGATTTCAGACTGTATATTAAAATAATAAGCTGGATGAAAAACGCATACTTTAGGTTGTCATATATTTGTTATAGTATTCAATCATTTCTATTGCTCTCCTGTCGCTTGTTATATACGGTAATTTATCACTACTACGTTTGCATCTACGGTCCTGTAAAAAGTATGATAAAGTAACAAAAACATAATTACGTGAGAACCATGTAATATATTAAAAAAACTTCGCAAATTTTTCTGTTCTGCATGTCACTATTTTCTTCCTTTGTATTTTCTTTAAACATTTTTGAGAACTAGGGAAGACTTGAATATTTTTTTTTGAATAAGTAGTAAACGAAGAAGAAAAATAATAGCAATGATGAGGATACATTGAAGAGTTTCTACTCTGCTGAAGGATATAAAATACATTAGAATTAGATGCTTTTATCGCGCTGCATCGAAGGACGAGGATCGCTAAGAGGTCAAATCAGCCCTCTCACGGATCAGGCTTACATTAACCGATCATTTCTTTCGCTTAGAGCAAGCCTCAAATATACCGTTCGATAGAGACTACTGGATTTCATCTCGGCAAACCGGCAGTTCAACATCGTTCATGTTTATACTATTCATTTATTTTCTCATTAACCACTCTATTTAATATACCATTCGATAGACAATTTTACGTGCTACAAAATGAGCTATAACACATTATTTTAAAACTTTGCATCCATAGATGTATTGGACCTTGTTACCTCGTTCTATCCTTAACGAAAACAAATGATATTTAGACAATCTTAGCTTAGTATTGGAGTAACTCCATACACTGTAAACTGTGATGTTTTTATGGGAAATAAATGACAATTTTCAAAAAGTACGGAGCAGAGCTGGAACCGGTACGGCCGGACCCGATCTGTTGAAAAAGTCACCTGGGCCGGTAGAGACCGGTATTTCACCGGTTGAAACTTTTAAAACATCTGCTCTTTTTACCCTATTTTCGTCAAAACACTAAAATCTCACATCTTTTTCAGTCAGAATAAACTCAAGATTTTAACTATACAAGAATAATTTCGTTAGGAATATTATCTGGTGAATATAGTCAGACTGACTAAGAGGAAAGTTTCAAGCATTAGCCTATCACTTTAATATTTAGGATTTTAAACTCGTGCGAGTTCAAAACAGCTTGCACCGTTGCCCATATACTACACTACAACATAACACAGTTTACAACTGGTAACATGATTCAAAACATTTACCCCAGCGTCCTTTAATATAGTCTCCGGAGGCTGTTTCAATTCGAGTTTAGAATCACGTTACGAGGTGAAAACCGTGTCATGTTGTGATATAGTATAGCGGACGCTGGGGAGGCTCCTATGAACTCGTACGAGTTATAAATCCTATTACGAGTTAAAAAGTGCGTTACGTTCTAAGATTGTATACGGAAGACTAGTTGAAAACTGTGTTATGTTGTTATATAGCATAGCGCAGGCTCGGGATGCTGGGGCGGCTGTGTAGAACTCGCACGAGTTTAGAATCATGTTACGACGTGAAAACTGTGTTATGTTGTACGATAGGGGAGGCTTGGGTGGCTGTTTTGAACTGATACGAGTTTAGAATCATGTTACCGGGCGAAATCTCGGGCGAAACTGTATTGTAATACACTATAGGGGACGCTGAGGAAATCACATTCGCGGTTGAAAACTCCCACCCCAGCCACTTCTATAGTACAGTACAGCGTTCTCGACCCGCCACATGATTCGAGTTCAAAACAGCCTCCTCAGCCAGCTGTATACTATCTTAGAACGTAACACAGTTTTTAACTCGTAACATGATTCTAAATTCGTAAGACTTCAAATCAGCCTCCCCTGTACTTTATTACAAACATAACACAGTTTTCGACTTGTAACATGAAGCTAAACTCGTGCGAGTTCACAACAGCCTCCCGTTTACTATATAAGAACATAGCCCGGTTTCCTACTCGTCACATGATCATAAACTCGTTCGAGTCCAAAACAGCCTCCACAGCCTCCCGTATACTATATTACAACATAACCCAGTTTTCAACTCGTAACATGATTCTAAACTCGTGCCAGTTCAAAACAGCCACCTCAGCCTCCTCATATTACAACATAACAAAGTTTTCACCTCGTAACATCATTTTAAACTCGCACGAGTTCAAAACAGCATCCCCAGCTTCCCCTATACTATATTACAACATAAAACAGTTTTCAGCTTGTAACATCATTTTAAACTTCAACTAGCTGAAAACAGCCACCCTAAACCGCGCCTATAGTGTATTACAACATAACACAGTTTTTAACTCGTAATAGGAGTTTGAACCCGTACGAGTTTAAAAGAGCCACCCTAACCGCCCCTATAGTGTATTAAAACATAACCCAGTTTTCAACTCGTAACAGGACTCTAAACTCCTACTAGCTCAAAACAGCCTCCCCAGCCTCCCGTTTACTATATACGAACATAACCCTGTTTACTACTCGTAACGTGATCATAAACTCGTACGAGTTCAAAACAACCTCGCCAGCCTTTCCTATACTATATAACAACATCACGCACTTTTCAACTCCAAACATGGTTCTAAACTCGAAAAATACAAAACTAGTAGCCAGTCAAGACTTCGAATATGACTTCCTCCAGCAATTTCTTATTTATTTTGTGTGTTTTACATGAGTTTACTAAGCATAGATATGTGAGACTAAATTTAATACAATATTGAAGTATAACGATGGACATA